TGCAATATAACAAAGAGTGAAAAATTGAAGGGGGTCTGAATACTTTCCGTACCCACTGTATATATATATATATATATATATATATATATAAACTGGACATGCTGGTGTCACTGTTATACATATCAGCCATGTCTGGACCAGAAAGACAGTGCATTTTCTAGCTCAGTTTTGGCCTCTGGAAAATTTAGACATGAAAGATGTTTTGTGGTGTTTGTGAGTTTGAGTTTGTGTACATGTGAAGGGAAGCTCGTGGGCTATTGGCAAACATACAGATATTATAGCACTTCAGAGAGACTGAGGGCCATTCACACTTAAGAAGATAAGGACTGCTCGGGGCTGTTTGGGCCTGGCAGTCGGTTTCAAAGCCCTCAGACTTTGAAACATGTTAGGGCTATTGAAAACGACTTTCATGGAGTCCTTGCTTTAAAAGCAGAAGCTATTATCACGTAGAAGTAGAGTTCAAATGCTTATTTTTTTCAGAAAATCTTAATATTTGGTTTGTCACAATGTCACAAACTTACTGATTAGTGGACTAAAAATATAGTTCTGTGTCTATTTTCACCCTAGAAAATTAAGTTTCTAACTGCATGTTATAGGTCTTATTGTGAGATCTTTTTTTTGTTTGTTTTTAATATCGTATTAATCAAAATGCGGCAACTGGACCTTTTGTAAACAACACACTTCTCTCTGGCGACATATGCCAGACTTCTATTTTATTAAAAATATTCAAATGAATAAATAAAATAACTAAATTATATATATATAATATTCTAATTCGTATATAACTGATTCCAAGATTTTCATTGGCTCAGACTTCTGTAACCCACTGTATGTTAATGTGTCTATCTACATGAAGAGAAGAATCACCTTATCCTCGTAAATAATTTGTTTGCTCGATTAAGATCAAGTATATGATATCAGTACAATGTAACAACATCTCAGTCATCGCTGAGGGTCGGATCAATGTCCCCTGATAACAAATGTGATCAGCTTTAGTTAACAAACCTTGCAGATCTGATTCTTGTGCTACTAAGTGCCTCTGTGATGATTAATAGCAACATCACATGAGAACAGAGACTATATGGTGTCACTTTCACACTAATGACAGATCACTCTCCTGCTTTATGGTTTTATGCTAATTGAAGCCATTTTGGGACAGCGATATTTAAGCTATTTTTCTTTTCTTTTTTTTCTGTGATGTGAAGCCTGCATTTAAAGTGTAATCTGACAAACACCTTGATTCATTTTGAAATTAAATCTTTAGTTTAAAAGAGAGGAGGAAATTGCTCTTCTGTTTCAAATTCACCTGTTACTTCACAGACAGTTCTGCTCCAACTCTGTCTGTTGAACTACTTGGCAAGACCTATTGGACGGTTTATGTCAACGCAAACACACTGAATGTGTTTTTTTTTTTTCAAGCGAGGTTGAGAGGAAGCAGTGGGGAGAGAGAGAAATAAAGAGAAAAAACATCAGGTTGTTCCCCAGTGTCATGCATAAACGATTTGTTAAATTAAGTAAAATTTTTTTTTTTTTTACAGTGTATGCAGGCTGAACTGTAATTCAAAGTCTGTGTTTTCCAAATAATTGTGCAAATTCACTTAAATCAGGCCTGACATTAATCGACTTTCAATGAGTGATTCACTCAAAAATATGAATTCTGTCATGATTTACTCACCCTCATGTCGTTTCAAACCTGTATAACTTTCATACCACCACCTAATGGACTGGATGAAGCACTGAATAGCGTACAGGAAAGCAATGGCAGCTCCTACAATTTTACTGTTCAGCTAATTAAATATCGAGTTGTTTTTAACCAAAATCAGTTGGAGACAGTCATAACGTGCTGCCATTTAATTGAATTCACTCAAATATTCATTGAATTTCTCTTCCTCCAGAAGATAGTGGGTTTGGAATGACATAAGAGTAAATGAGTACATTTTATTTTATTTTTTATTATAATTTTTTTTGTATTCTTTTTATTTTATTTTTTATTTTATTAGTGTGTATATTTTACTGTGTGTGTGTGTGTGTGTGTGTGTGTGAACTATTCCTTTAAATTATATACAGCATAGTTTCAAGCTAGATTTTATTAAGCGTGCATTATACATTGGTTAACAATTAATCAATAGTCTGCAAGCTTATATGATGTCAGATTAGAAAGTTATTTTCAGAGAAAGAGTAACTTGTTGATATATTGTAATTATTACATTTTTTTTTCAATAACATAGACTGATTACCAGTGGTGCTTGAAAATTTGTGAACTCTTTAGAATTTTCTATATTTCTACATAAATATGACCCAAAAGATCACCAGATTTTCACATCAGAAAGTAGACAAAGAGAATCAAACGAATGAGCCAAAAATATATACTTTGTCATTTATTTATTGAGAAAAATGGTCCAGTGTTATACATCTGTCAGTGGCAAAAGTGTGTGAATCTTTGCATTCAGTATACCCCATTTTGCAGCAATAACTGCAGCTAAACATTTCTTGTAACTGCTGATCAGTCCTGCACAACCGCTTGTAGGAATTTTAGCCCATTCTTCAGTACAGAACCGCTTCAACTCTGTGATGTTGGCGGGTTTTTTCCTGCAAACTGCTTGTTTCAGGTCCTTCCACGACATTTTAATTGGACCGGACTTTGACTTTGTTCTTCTTTAACCATTCTTTGGTAGAATGACTTGTGTGCTTGGGGTCGCTGTCTTGCTGCATGACCCACTTTCATTTGAGATTCAGTTCTCGGACAGATGCCCTGACATTTTCCTTCAGAATTTGCTGGTATAATTCAGAATTCTTTGTTCCATCAATGATGGCAAGCCATCCTGGCCCAGATGCAGCAAAACAGGCCCAAACCATGATACTACCACCACCATGTTTCACAGATTGGATAAGGTTCTTATGTTGGAATGCAGTGTTTTCCTTTCTCCAAACGTAACGCTTCTCATTTAAACCCAACATTTCTATTTTGGTCTCATCCATTAAACCTTTCTCCAATAGCCCTCTGGCTTGTCCACATGATCTGCAGACGGGCAGCAATGTTCTTTTTGGAGAGCAGTGGCTTTCTCCTTGCAACTCTGCCAGGGACACCATGGTTGTTCAGTGTTCTCCTGATGGTGGACTCGTGAACATTAACATTAGCCAATGTGAGAAAGGACTTTAGTTGCTTAGAAGTTACTCTGGGGTCCTTTCACTGACTATTACATGTCTTGCTTTGGAGTGATCTTTGTTGGTGGACCACTCCTGGGGAGGGTAACAATGGTCTTGATTTTCTTCCATTTGTACACAATCTGTCTGACTGTGGATTTGTGGAGTCCAAACTCTTTAGAGATGATTTTGTAACCTTTTCGAGCCTGATGAGCAACAACAACTCTTTTTCTGACATCCTCAGAGCTATCCTTTGTTTGTGCAATGACACAAGACATACAGACATATACTTCCACAAACATGATCAGACTTTGATAGATCCCTGTTCTTTAAATAAAACGGACCATGCACTGACACCTGATAGTGATTGAAAACACCTCTGAACAGATTGACACTAATTTCACCCTTCAAATTAACTGCTAATCCTAGAGATTCACATACCTTTGCCACTCACAGATATATAATATTGGATCCTTTCATTTGTCAGCTTTCAGGATGTGCGTGAAAATCTGACGATTGTTTGTTAACTCAACTTGTTTCATTTCTATAGGTATTTAACATTCTAAAACCTCTTTATTCCAAAGATATACTATACAAGCTAGTCAGTGTATTATTGTAAGTTGCTTCAGACGCATAAGGTATTGCAAGTATTGTATACATACAACAATAATAAAACATAAGTGCATTGACATAAAAAAGGAAATTTACTTTTGGTACTTCTGTACTTTTACTTAAGTAAAAATCTCTCTTTACAACTTTCACTTGTAATGGAGTAATATGTGACCAACAGCACTCAAGTAATGGAGTTTTGTAGGCTTTGTCCACTGTTATCCAGAACTCAGTGCACACATACACACTCTAAACCATTTGGCTGTGATAAAGCCATCCTGTCTATGGGTGGGACACAGATTTTGAATGAGGACTGCAGGTGCAGTTTTTGTAATGCTCTCAGGAGAATCCTCAAACGCAGGAGATGACATGCACAAGTCCAAGTGCTCTATTAGAGCTAATGACTGTCCTCTCATACCAAATAACAGTCACCTTTGTCTGCGAGGCAAGCCTGTGCACTGATTAGACAGCGGTGTTATGTCTTTGTATTATGGGACATCAGCCACAAAGATTCACACTGTGTAGCTGAGGGACAGTTAGTTTAGAAACAAACAGACATTGTGCTCTTGTTCTGTTGGCTTGTAATTATGTGAATCCGAATGTGAGTAATTCGCTATTAAAAGGATAGATAGTTTACCCAAAATTGAATGTTTTGTTTTTGGTCATAATTTAGCCTACTTACCCTCATGCTGTTCCAACCCTGTAAAGAACTGAACAATTCTGGTTTTAATTGTGCAGTTCTTTAATGCTTCCATTTTAAATACGGCATAAATACAACTACTACTACTACTACTACAGAGGAAGTCGTGGCCTAATGGTTAGAGAGTCGGACTCGTAACCCAAAGGTTGCGGGTTCGAGTCTCGTACCGGCAGGGATTGTGGGTGGGGGGAGTGAATGTACAGCGCTCTC